ACCACCAACATGTAAAGAATAAAGGAAATGGTCAGTTTTTCATGGCCAGTTAAAATTTCATTGTTAGAAATGTATTTAAAATCAGAACACGATGCCATATGCCTGCAACTCTGCATTTAGAAGGCTGGGCATAGGATTTTAAGGCCTGCTTGGGCCACATAGTGTGTTGCTAGCTAGCCTAAGCTACATAACAAAACCTTGTCCAAAACATGTAAAAGGAACAGCGGGCCGGTTCCCGCCGTCTGCCCGGCTAGCTTTACCCGAAATAATTACACGGAAACTGTATTCATTTAAACACTGCCTGGCCCATTATCTGTAGCCTCTTATTGGCTAACTCTTATATATTGACCTAACCCATTTCTAATAATCTGTGTAGCACCACGAGGTGTTGGCTTACCGGGAAGATTCTAACCTGCATCCATCTTGGAGAGAAGAGCTATGGCGTCTGCCTCATTGCCTTCTTCCCAGCATTCTGTTCTGTCTACTCCACCCACCTATGTTCTGACCTATCAGGCCAAGCAGTTTCTTTATTAACCAATGAAAGCAACAAATAGAAATAAGACCCACCTACATCAAAAACAATTCAAGCAGGAAAAAAATATAAAATATTTATAAATTAAATTTAAATACCTTGTTTAAAGAAAGTGGGTACATGTTATCTAACCCTCATTATTTTGCCACTGACTATTTTAAAGCATTATCTGAAATCAAAATCCTAATTTCTACTATATTTCTTTTAAAGGAAAAAAATTTTGCTAATCAAATTAATAGTATATGATTACCAAAGTTTGAAATAGTACCATAATATAATTATGTAAATAATCTCAAAGTTTTAGTGATATCTTTTTAGCATTGATAACAGTTTATATATACACATTAGCAGACACAGATGGTTCTTCCTATGTTTTACTACTATGCATAATTAAAGGTGTTTTCTTACAACCTCTCTTCTGTTTGGGTTTTCTAATGCCTTACAGTACTTTGTCTTGTTTTATTCTGTTAGGTTTTATTCTCTTATCTTATTCCTTGTACTTTTCCATTTACGGCTATAGAACTTGCACCAGCTTTTGCCCTGTTTTTTTGTCCTTCCAATCTACAGCTTACTTTGTTTTTTGCTCGTAAAGATCAAAAGTCTCCCTTTTCTTCAATAACCAGTGCTCTTACATTTGTGTTATTGTTGTAAATTTTCTATGTTCATTTCTGCTTCCCAACTGCTGGTTATAAGTGTGTATAGTTTCCTATTATCCCTGTTAATCTATCTGATACAATCAAAACTAATAGGTTGTACATAGAACTGGAAAACAGAGACAGAAAACACTTACTTTGCATGAGTCCCTGGTGTATATTAGGTAATTTATTTATGACTTCTCAGTCTTCATCATCCTTTTAAGAGGTCATGGTATATTTTATTCTTAAATACACAGAAGTTCAGAAAGCTTAAATATTTTCCTCTCAAATCTAGATAACTGTATATATTTATTTCTGTGATTCACTATTGTTTATTGAGCATATGCTAGGTGTTACCCACTGTACAGTGTGATGCAATAGATCCAACCCCCTTCTCTTAGACAGTATCTCTGTAGTAGCATTGTATAACTTTACAGATATTGAAGCTTTTGCCATACTAGTCATTTTAAAAATAGAAAAAACCCAGAATAGATTATAGTGCTATATGGAAAAGATGCATTAGTTAGAGATATAAGAAAGATTATGTTGGTAATTTATTTAAGAACATCGTACTGAAAACATATTCTTATGTCTTGACCTATAAGAATCTCATGGTTTGTTCCCTGCCTTCCCCCAGCTCACCATGATTCATACCATAATAACTTAAAAGCAAACTAACAATGCAGAAATTATTCGGTCTTAAGATCAGAAATTTTCCCTGCAGGACCATTTAAAGAAAATCACAGTATAATGTGACCATACCTCAGATACTCATCATATAAATAGAAATTTTACTGAGAGATTTTTTTATGTCCAATGGTAGACCGCAAAAGTAATTTCTAATAAAATAATTCTCTGGAAACTAAAGTGAGACATTTCAGGTAGAATTCAGTGTTCTGGCAACATTCATGATATAGTCTAGAGAATCTATAAAAATTGGCAAACTATCTCTTCCATGCAATTTTCACATTTTTTTGTTAGCTGTAGGTCTCAGCTTATACAGTTTATTTAATTCATCACTGAACCATCACATCCTTTGAATACTACAAACATTATTGTAGACTCCTAATAAGCAATGTTTCTCAAGTAGATAAATTTATATTTTAGTCTCTATTTTGGATTAAATATGCCCATATGACTATTTTTTGCTATTTCCCTACTTGTCCTTAAAATACGCTTTTCTTCTTGGGATACATAATCTTTATGTGTATCTCCTTATAGTTTCTGTTCCTAGAAGAAAATACTGGAGATTGAATTTTTAAAAGAAAAATAAGTTTATTTATTTCAGTTTTGGAAACTGAAAGTCCAAAATAAAGGAAAATGGCTGTCTTCAGAAGCAATTATATGGCAAGCTGACTCTATATAGTTCCTTCCCTTCGGAACTGACTCCAGGAGACCAGCATTAGTTAACATTGCCACACAGAGATCCAAGCTACTAAAATGAATCTTTGGGAGATTTGGTATTTAAAACCATTCATGTTAAGCACTGCTTGTGTGATGACTTTTTACAGTAGGAAATAAAGTGTTAATTCTGCTAAAGAGGTCTTTTTATATTATGCTCAACTTCCCTTTGCTTGTTCCTGAGACATTGTAAACTTTATCAGAACAGTTTATGACTGAAGTAATGTCTTCTATCATGAGGCCCCAAACTTGCATTGAATAGGTTGGCTTCAAATGGTGAAGACTGAAGTTGACAACTCATCATTTTTCAACTTTGAACTTAAATAGTAGCAACTCTTTTAAAAACTTTGGAGTTAAAATTTCCTTTCTCAGCCATGCAGAGGTGGCGCACACCTTTAATCCTAGTTCTTGGAAGGTAGAATCTGGCAGATCTCTATGAGATCGAGGCCAGCCTGATCTACAGAGTGAGTTCGAGGATAGCCAGGGTTACACAGAGAAACCTTGTATCGGAAAAAAAGAAAAATTCCTTTTTTATGGTACCCTTGAATTAAAGCAGACTTCATTAAGAAGCAGTTTGTTGTTAAGCATTACACTATCCTGAGTGCAGTGAACCAGGAGAATTATCAGTTCTGGGAATCCTATATTTTAAATGCATATTAGGCACAAATTAGTATATATGTCCTACAAATTACATTATCAGTTAGTATCTGGCACATATTTTATTTGCTTTAACAGTTTTGTCAAGTTGTCAACTTTTGCTCAGAAGAAAACCGTTGGCCAGAGATGCAGCCTTAGCTATCACTGCTGCTGAACTGTTGTCGCTGTTCTATCATTATTTATATTTTGCTTGCTTTTCCTCATACTGAAATTCTCAATTTTTCAAGTTTTACTTCTTGGTCACTTCCAATTGTAACTTCCTTCATTTATAGAAACTGCTAGAAATGTATTAAGTCTTGTGTTTTATTCCTAATTTTAGCCTAAAATTTACCTTTACCATTAAATACAATGTGCAATCATAGTTCATATTCTGTAATTTAAGTGTGTGCCCCTTCACAAATATCAATGTCTTACAAATTAAAGGTTTGAGGCAACACTGTGCAAAACAAGAATATTAATGCCATTTTCCCATTATATGCTCACCTCATTTCTCTGTGCTGCATTTGGAAATTTTCCCAATAGTCTAAACTTATTTATTATTTTTATGTCTGTTGATCAATCAACAGCCAACAAGCTCAGGCTAGAGTCTCCTTTTGGAATGTAGTTATGACTTCCTGAAGGTTCAGATGATCACTTGCATACTTTTGTAACACTGTATTTCATTATTGTTACTTTTTTAGATATAATGATATGATGTGCTTAATATGCTACATGATAATGTAAACAACTTTATATGCACTTAGAAACCAAAAGTTCATATGATTTGCTTTATTGTTTTTTGGCTTAACATTGTTGGTCTGAAACCAGACCTGGAATATATCCAAGATGTGCTTATATTCTGACTGTTAGAAAATGTGGTTTTCCTGTCTCCTTCATTAACTTAGTCCTGGTTTAACTACCCTTCATCTTAAGAATGGTGGATCATAACTATTGGTATAATAAATACTATCACTTTATTCCTTTTTTAGAAATCTAATGGCTAATTTGTAATAAAAGTAGAAAATATAAAATTCTTCTTCTAGCTAGTTTATGGCAAATCTGATTTTTTTCTCTCTTTAATCATGTTATAAAATCATAGAATTAGGAGGAATGTATTTTAGAAACCATTTTTATTTCGGTAGCAATAGGCAACTTGTCAGCTGGGTGGTGGTGATACATGCCTTTAATCTCAGCATCTCAGCACTCATGAAGTAGATGCAGGTGGATCTCTTGAGTTCAAGGCCAGCGTGGTCTATCAGAGTGAGTTCCAGGACAGGCACCAAAGCTACAGAGAAACCCTGTCTTTAAAAAAAAAAAAAAAAAAAAAAAAAAAAAAAAGGAACGATAGGCAAGCTGTGGTTGTAGCAGTGCCACAGCTCAGAATGCAGCTCCTACTTTAGCATGTGCAGGGCCTTGCCTTCCATCCTCCATACACAAAACAAAAACCCTAAGAGCCAGAAGTAATGCCCAGCTTTCTTACAACTCTGGGATCTTTTGAATTGTCACAGCTATCTGAGATTTTCTTTTTTCAAATTCAGTTATCGGACAAGTTGAGTTTTCTATCAACTACTTTGCAACCGTAAGAAAAAGAATAACCTGGGACTGGTAACATTCTCTGGGTTTTCCTAATCATTAGCTTATGTTCAGTGATCCTGAAAAACTAAGCCGGCTGGCTTTAAAAATCTAAATGGTTGAGGAACTACAAAATATGTTTTATCTTGAAGTGGAATTTACTACTCTGCCTTTCTAGATTTTTGGATAATTTACTCAGTCTGCTATTTAATCTTTAATTACAGGCCACAAAAGAAGTAATAGAACGGGAAGCGCCAGGGATGGCCCTGGCCATGCTGATGGGATCACTTAATGTTACACCTCTGGGCATGCTCTCTAGGTAAGAAAGCCACCCACAAATTGCAAAGAAAGTGAACTCTTGACTACAAATCAGTAACCTAGAACAATGAATCTAAGAGAGTTTAGTCACAAAACTTAAGTTTATCCCTTTTTATCCAGGGTTAGGCATCTTAGTATGTTCTGTAGCTAAATCTCAACCAATCCCCACCCCCCCTTTTTTTGGTTTTGGCTTTGTTTTTGTTAAACTTCTAGAGATTGTTTTAACACTGTTGAAAGTCATCAGTCCTAATGCATAAGAGTTGAGTTCATCAAAATGTAAAGTTACTCTTTTTTTGTTATTGTTTATAATCACCATTGATATTCATTAATTGTAGCTAGCTGCTAGTTTAATGCAATGAACCTGCAAATTTTATTTAAAAATCACTTATTCTCATATGTAGGCACTTTGATTTGAATTTATAAAGAGGTATATTTATTTGCAGTCATAAAAAAGATAATCTCTGAGTAATTTAGTATATTTATATTGCTCTAATGAATCAGTATATTATTATACTAAATTAGTATATTTAAAACAATATTTTTGTTGGCATAGATGGTAACATCTATATTGGATCTGGTGGTTTCTTACTATTTTAGCAAATCCTAGATTATTATCCTATAAATGAAATAGTATATATCATTTAAAATAAAACTTAATTTAGTCAGGATGCTTTTAATGACCTTTGGTATTAGACATTTAATGTCATGATAGCTCAAAATACACAACTTTATAAGGTCCTAACTTTATAATCACTTCTATTCTGTGTGAAATATGAATATAAAAAGCTAAGCTATCTATTTAATTAATATATAGATGTTATTCAAAATGGCTTTCCTCTTATTTGGATTAAGTTTATAGTTCATTGTGGCAGTCATTGGAGGTTTAGCTATAAGTGAATCAACAATTATTATATTTTCTTTACTTTCATAAATATATACAGTTTATAATATTTAATAAGTGAAAAGGCAATTAAAATGAGAGATTATATATATATAATTAGTCTTTTTTGAGAATTTTATACATACTTTGATCACATTCTCCTTCCACCAACTCTTCCTGTGTCCATACCCCTTACCACCATGTATTGGGTCTTCTTATTTTCACCCTCATCAATACCAATGTGTACTGCATAAATATTCTTAAGTGTGTGGCCTACTGCTGGAACAAGCATACTAGTTTTTATCAGGGGCTACATTCTTAGGAAAAAGCAAATATTTCCTTCCCTACAGCTAAGAATTATCAATAGCACTTCAACTAGGGGTGGAATTTCATGTCCAACTCCTCTTTCCACATTTAGATTTTGTTTCACTCAGATTTGCACAGGTCTTCTGCCTGCTGTCTTACTACCATGAGTTCATATGTGCAATATGCCCTGCTGTGTCCCGAATAAACTGTCTCCTTGTAGATATCCACTGCCTCTGGCTTATACATCTTTCCATTCTGTCTTTGTCAATGATACCTGAGCAGGTTGAACATTCTTCTGTCTCTTGTTTTCTGCTTTTTGGCCAGTTATTGGTCTCTGTGTTGATCATAATCTACTGCAAATAAACATTCTCTGATAAAGTATAAAAGAGAGTTCTTAATCTATGGATTTAATGATATATCATTGGAAGTTGGTTTAATCCTGTGTCCACTTAATACATTATTCAAATAGTTTCTCTCCTTCACATTATATCATCTATCTTGTCTTAGATTTCTGGCCCCAAAATGGTGCCTGGTATATGGATTTTGTCTTTTGGACCAGTCCTTAAGTCCTATCAGAAAGTGGTTAGTTACTCCCCCATGACATTCTTGCCATGTTTGCACAAGTGGGCAGTATCTTGCCAGACTAGGCATTATTGTAGTTCATAGGTATCACAGCTCAAGATGATCGATGATTACTTTCCTCCTCCAATAACTCGCATAGCACCATCTAGTATTATAAAAGTTATTTAGTAGGATTGAACCTGCCAGATGTGCCAACTGAATTCTATCAAGTTCTGTGGCTCAGGCATGTGATATCTTCAATAGTAGGGTCATACTATCATGTTCTGAAGGTAACCATGAGTATTGGCAATGGTCTGTGATACCTGGTGGTTTTTGGAACCTCACTTGCCAACAACTCCAAAAAACATTATCCCGTTCCTGGGATTTGAATTTTTTTATGCTTCACATTTGGACCTAGGGAGTTTAGTCTAGTGTTTCAATGAGGGTCTCTGTCTTTATCTCCATCCATCGCCAAATGAAGGTTCTATGGTGATATACAAAATATTCGTCAGTATTGTTATGGACCAAGGCCAGTTCAGGCACCCTCCCCTCTGCTGTCCAGGGAACAATTTGGGGACCTCTCCTTGAACATGGGAACCCCTCTAGACACAAGGTCCCTAGCAAACCCTAAAATGGCTCCTGTAATTAAGATATTTACTTCCCTGCTCCCATATCCACCCTTCCTCCATCCCACCCATCCCATCCCCCCAAGCTTTCCCCAATCCTCCCCTTCTCCCCTCTCTCTACCCATCTCCCCTTACATCCTCCCCACCCCCGTGCACCCAAGAAGGTGAACCTAAAGAAAATCATATAGTTATCCTCCTGGATACTGGAAGTAGATAAGATTTCCTGGATTTCTTTAAGGGATTTATTTGTCTCCCCTTTGATGACTCTATCATCATCTTGAAGTTGGTTTTAAAGTTGTTTTCTTGTGCTTCAGCTGTCGGAATATCATAACTTGTTATAATAGGACAATTGTGCACTGCTGGTGAAAAATTGACCTAGTTGTTGCTGATTATGTTCTTACACTAGCATCTAAGTATCTGGGTTAGAAATGAATATAGGTCTAGGAGCCAATTTTTGTTTTTGTTAGATAGGAGTTGTTTTTTATTGGATTTTTTTTTTTGTTTTGTTTTTGATTGTTTGTTTTCCCCTTGGTTTCTGTTTCCTCTTTGGTCTTCTGGTCTTTGTAGTCTGTTTTTCTGGCAACCTGCATGACCTCTGGTCTCCTGATAGGAGTCTCCATCAGAGTTGGGGACTGGACTTCTGATAGCTTGTGTGGCCTTTTATTCAGAAAAGGAATCTCTGTTCTGATTGGTGTGACCTGCACTTGAACAGTGAGTACCCCAAAAACACACCTGTGTAGTGCCAGTGACACAGCAAGGAGTGCAGGTGTTGGGATAGTGTCAGCAGCTTGAGTCTTTCAGCTTGGAACTGAGGCTGTTTTTGAGGTGAGGTATTTCAAGGGCAGGTGGGTCTCTGACCGGCATGTTCTGTTCCTGAGAAGTGTATGTCTGCCCTTGTAGGGACAAGCACATGTCAGGAGGGAGTCTAAGGAGGAATGTCAATGGCTTGGGTCTTTTGGCTCTGAACCAAACGAAGGGAATGAGAAGGTTCAGATGACAGATGGGGTCTTTCTGTAGGTGCCATACCTTCCTGATATCATAGTTTCATAACACGATGGTCATGGACGTTTATTTCTTTGGAACCATAAATCCTTCTATAATTTGTCCATTCATAATGTATTTATTGTAACCACAATAGGAAAGTAACTAAGAATTACACTGTCAAGTTCTGCCAGAATAAAAGTTTTCATGAATTCACATACTATTCAAGCTGAGGTGTTTTGTGTGTATGAATATATACATCATACTTATGTTTTAAAAATCTATCATATATTTCTTGAAGCCTTGCGTATATGTGTGAACATATATTCACAGTTCACAGTAGAGCCCAGAAATTTTTCTAGTTCATACATACTATTAAACATTATATACTTTCTTGTGTCTGTACTCCAGGAGGTTTGGCACACTCTCCAATTTCCAGGGGCCCTCATTCCCACTTAAACCTATGTGAAAGACAAGTATATTTCTTACATAGTATTAATTCTTTTTGCTTTGTGTATTTCTTTGCAACTATAACACCCTTGGAGCAAAGGAATAAAAACTTTAAGGAGAAGATATTCTTCCCACCTCAGGTCTTCAAACTGTAGTCCTTTTCCATTTCTACTTGCCAGGAAAATGGCTGACTTTTTTTTTTTCAAAATGGGGACTTATTTTATTAAGGGCACAAACCTTTAATCCCAACATTCAGGAGGCAGGCATTTCTCTGTGGGTTCGAGACCAGCCTTGTCTACAGAGTAAGATCCAGGACACCCAGGGCTATACAGAAAAACCCATCTCACTAAACAGAAAACAAACAAAATGCTAAAGAAATAAAATTAACTAAACTTATATTTTTGTATCAGCGAGTCAAGATGCTTTAATATAACTTTTGCAATATTAAAGTATCATGGGTTATTTTAAGTAATTTACATTAATAGTATTACCATCTTGAAGAGCTTTAATTTTCTCTTAACCCAAACTAGATACACTTAGTTTATAAAAAGCAGTATAGAGGCAACTAAAGATAGCAGACTCTGATGTAACTATTTTATAATTTATAAACCTATTCCGAAGTTTGCAACTCTCAGGGTGAGTTTTAACTGATAAAAGTTATGACTAATTTTTATTTCATGAAAATCAACAAAATAGACAAACCTTTATCTAAACTAAACTAACCAAAAGGCAGAGAGAGAGTATCCAAATTAAAAAAATGAAAAAGGGAACATAGCAACAGACAGGAAATCCAGAGCATCATCAGTTCATATTTCGAAAACCTGTACTCCACAAAATTGGAAAACTTAAAGAAAATGGACAATTTTCTGGACAAATATTATTTACCAAAATTAAATCAAGACCAGATAAGCAAATTAAATAAACCCATACCTGCTAAAAAAAATAGAAACAGTCATCAAATGTCTCCCAACCTAAAAAGGCCCAGGACCAGATAGTTTCGCCACAGAATTCTACCAGGTTTTCAGATTACCAAACTCTTTTTACGAGGCTACAATTACTCTGATACCCAAACCACATAAAGATTTTACTAAGAAAGAGAATTACAGACCAATCTCACTCAAGAACATTGATGCAAAGATGCTCCATAAAATTCTGGTAAACCAAATCCAAGAACATATCAGAAAAATCATCTACTAT